TATATTTTATATAGATAAAGCTATTCGTAAGGTGTGAGCTGTACTTGTCAGTGCAATATTTTGCATTTCTTTTTAGGTTTAGGCTACCAAGAATTCCGTCAATGAGCCTATCGCAACATTTTCGAACCAATCCGAGGGCTCCAACTACAACTGGAATTTTTGATGTCCTCATATGCCATTTTTTAAAGTTCTTCAAAGATACTTTACAGTCTGCAGGGACCGTCATGTCATTAAGGAGGTACGTTTTGTTTTTGTGGTCTCTGATTACGATAGCTGGGCGATTAGCTTTGATTGTTATGTCTGTGTTTATTGTAAAGTTATATAAAATTGTTAAAGATCCTATTTAAAAAAATCTGCCTCGTCAGTCATGTATCGAAAGACACATGATCGCCTAAGTCTGTATCACGTATGACACATAAACGTAAACTGCAGTTAGCCTTTGTTAGTGCTGAGTTAACAAGAATTGGTCCTGTGCAGCAAGAATAAAACCCTCGATTTCAGCGTTTAACCCTGCACTTCGTCTCGGATTGCGGAATCGGAGAGCCGAGTTCGAATTCCAGTCAAATCCATTACATTCACTTACGTGCTAATGCCATTGGGAAAGGTATGAAGTCTCATCTTCTCCCCACCCCAGCTACGGGTAAATAGCAGGAGAGACCAGGATATATAGCTTTGGATGGTGTTGTGGTAGTATCTACCTAATTTGCATAGTGGAGTACCGACCATATAAATATGGTTGGTACCGGGAAGAGAGGGAGGAATCAAGAGATTCAAGTAGAGACTCTGCCCGACTGCGACTCAGTCAACACATTCTCCAGGAACGGTCTTACCAGGAATATACAAGAGACTATATGTAAATATTGTGTACACTTTCTTGTTTCAATACATTTTGTTCTAAGTACATTTTGTGTTGCATTATTATTCCATGCATTAGTCAAGTTTCAACGGATGGCAACTGGTCTACCTTGGAAAGAAATGGTAAGCTACTAGGGGAAAAAATCTGCATCGTCAGTCATCTATCAAAAGCTACTTCATCGCTTACGCATTTATCCCGCATGACACATAACTGACTGACTGGCGTAGCCACTGATGGGTACAAGATTTGTCTACGTCAGCTTGTTTGACACTTGCAGAGTATTGACCATGATGAGGCTTATGTTGCCATCGTTTCTGTATCGAATGATACATGATCGCCTACGCGTGTATCACGCATGGCACATAACTGACTGACTGGCGTAGCCACTGAGGGGTACGAGATTTGTCTACGTCAGCTTGTTTGGTACCTGCACAGTATTGACCATGATGAGGCTTATGTTGCCATCGTTTCTGTATTTGGTACATTGTGTTTGCTTTTGCTTTCTTTTTTTAGGCTCTTTTCTGCTGAACTAGATGTATTATGGTTTATTTGCACTTCTTTAACCACTGGAAATTCACTTTTGAATGTATTGGTTTCCATTATTACTAAATAGAGTGTCTTAATTCTTTGACATAGATCCTCATACAGTCTTCTGTATTTACCAGGTATCTTTGAAGACCGAGTTTTGCAAGACAGTTCTAGTTGAACTAATCCTCTGCCTCCTACGGATCTGGGCACATACAGACGATCAACGCCACCCTTAGAATGGTGCAGGCGGTGGTATATGAGAAGGTTTCTCGTTTTGACATCCATTCGCTTTATATTCCTATTAAGGATGTCGAAACTATATTGCACTACAGGAACAACCAAATTGCTTATGGCTGATATTCTCATTTTTTTTTTTTCAATTCAACACGGTATTTAATACCAGTTGTATTCTTTTCTTACTTTATCCTTCATTTGTGTATGTTGTATTCCATTTTCTTCGATGACTCCTAGGTTTCTTTTTGTTCCAGTTTCCTAATTTTTTTAACAAAATCAAGATCTATTGAATTTGTTTCTGTAATTCTACCGTTCTTGAATGTTACTTTTGCACATTTATCTAATCCGAAATCCATATTGATTATTATCACGGAAACGTTTTACAGTATTGAGGAGACACTTGTACCCATTGTCTTCTTTGGCAAAGAGTTTGAGATAATCCATGTAGAATAGGTGATTAAACTCTTTATTTTTTTTTTATCCATAGTGATCATTTTTTATTTCATGCGAAAGGCGGATACAGAACAGAAGGAACGACAGCCGGTCTCCTTGAAAGATTGGAAATGGCATTACCTTTGGTGTGACTTAGGTATAATTTCCACAGTCGCATGCTATATTTAAAGACATTTACTATCACCGAGGAGACTTTGTATATTTTCAACGCCTTAAGGGTCCAAGATATTATTATTATTATTATTATTATCATCATCATCATTCGATTTCTGCTATGGACACACTTACCAAGTCTGCGGAAAGACCTAAGGCAGGTCGTGGTGTGTTGTTATGGCCACATTTCATGTTAATTTTTTTTTTTTTTTTTTTTCCGATGAAGTTGCTAGCGTTACATAGACAAAGTTCTCCTTAGTGTGTGTGCTGTACTTAATAAGACAATTTTCTGTATGTCTCTTAAGCTGGGGTTTCCAGGGATTCTTTCAATGTGTTGTTTTGTTCCATTTTTTATAATTCCAAGTGCACCTATTACCACTGGTATTATTCTTGTTTTCAATTTCCACATTTTTTCTATTTCAATTTCCAGGTCTTTGTATTTTGATAGTTTTTCAAATTCCTTGGTTGCTATGTTACAATCCGCTGGACAAGCCATATCAATTAGTAGGCAAGTTTTTTCTTTCTGGTTTTTGACAATAATGTCCGGCCTATTTGCTTCAATTTTTCTGTCTGTGTGGATGGTATAATCCCATAGAATGGTGACATCTTCTATTTCTGTAACCGGCGCTGGCCGATGTTCATAAAGTGTTTGCTTAACATTTTCCAAAGTGTTTGCACATTGTCCAGTGTAAGTATTGCCCCAAAAAAGACGATTTTTATATTCATTTGGGGCAAGTATAGAACATCCTGAGATTAGATGGTCTATTGTTTCTTGGTATTTGTCAAGAACCTGCATTTTGGATCCACATTATTATGTATGATATTTGCCTGAAAATTCCTAGTGAAAAGACTCTGGTCTTGCGCTGCAAGAATAAAGCCTTCAGTTTCAGACTTTAATCCAGATGCTCGTAACCATCGATGAGTATTAACTTTATCAACATTGGGTTTATTTGCACGTTCTGGATATTGGCCATGCAGAGGTTTGTCTTGCCAGCGTTGTTTCATCTGTTCAAGGGCTTTATCCTTGGCTTTCTTTTTTCATATCTTTTGCTGCAATAGTTGGTTCTTGGCTTCTGTTTTGATTTACTACAGAATCTACTAAATGTAAATGTTGTTTGTATTTACTGCCTTCTTTTTATTATTGAATATTTTTTTTCTGTTTTCATGTTGTTTCACTAATTTTATCATCCAGTCATTTGTTGTTTCCATGTAAGTTAGTAAGCCAATAGTTGTTGTCTTGTATGACAATTCTAGCTGAATAAGACCTCTTCCACCTTCTTTACGGGGTATGTATAGACGGTCTACATCAGCCTTTGGATGATCTTATACTTAGAAAGAAGCTTTTGTTTTACAATCCATTTGTCTGATGTCATTTAGAGTCCAGTTCAAGATGTTGAAACTATATTGGACCACTGGGATGGCAAGGTTAATAATGGCCATAATTCTGTTCTGAGAATTCAATTCAGTTTTTAATACCAGTCGTACCCTTCTATAGTACTCTTTACGCACTATTTCTTTCATTTTCTTATGGTGAATTCCTTCACTCTCATTTACACCTAGGTACTTATAAGCTTCTCCTTATAAGGTACTTATTATTATTATTATTATTATTATTATTATTATTATTATTATTTCCTTTGATTTCTGGCGTTTACACATTTCTTTCTGGGTCCCGCCCAGGGACCTAAGGTTAGAGATGGCGTCATGACACTTTCCACTGACAAAAAAAAAAAAAAAAAAAAAAAAAAAAAGAGGAAAAGATTACATAGATAAAGCCCTTCGTAAGGTGTGGGCTGTACTTGTCAAAACAATTTTCTGTATCTCCTTGAGGCATGGACTTCCAGGAATCCCTTCAATTAGTCTACTGGAATCTTTTCCAACCAGTCCTAGGGCTCCAACTACAACAGGGATTGTTGATGTTCCCATATGCCACATTTTCGCGATTTCTATTTCAAGGTCCTTGTACTTTGACAACTTTTTTGAATATCTTCAAAGATACATTGCAGTCGGCAGGGACTGCCATATCAATAAGGAGGCACCGTTTTTGTTTGTGGTCTTTAATAACAATATCTGGGCGGTTGGCCTTGATTGTTCTGTCACTGTGTATTGTGTAGTCCCATAGAATTGTAACAGGTCCTATCTCCGTAACTGGGTCTGGGTGGTGTTCATACCAGTTTCTTTAAGTTTTCTTCCCGTAGAAGTTGCAGATTTTCCAGTGCAGATATTGGCCCACTCTGTCATGCCGGGTTTTATATTCAGTGGGTGCCAACACCGTACAACCTGCTACAAGATGATCAATCGTTTCTGGATATTTATCACAGAATCTGCATTTTGGGCTGACACAATATTTTAGTATATGTGCTTGATAATTCCTAGTTAGCAAGCATTGGTCCTGCGCAGCAAGGATTATTATTATTATTATTATTATTATTATTATTATTATTTTCTTTGATTTCTGGCGTTTACACATTTCTTTCTGGGTCCCGCCCAGGGACCTAAGGTTAGAGATGGCATCATGACACTTTCTACTGGAAAAAAAAAAATAAATAATTAAAAATAAATAAAATTACATAGATAAAGACATTCGTAAAGTACTTGTCAGAACAACTTTTTGTATCTCTTTGAGGCATGGGCTTCCAGGAATCTCTTCAGTTAATCTACTGGAGTCTTTTCCAACCAATCCTAGGGCTCCAACTAAAACAGGGATTATTATTATTATTATAATTATTATTATTATTATTATCTTCGCTGTGATATGTCGTTTCTTCTTTTGCAGACTTTATTTCATTCTATCATTTATTTGTTCATTTTCTTTGTCTAAAGGTTCTTCTTCTTCTTCTTCTTCTCCTCCCCCTCACTCGTTCTCGCTTTCGTCTGTCTGAAGTGCCTCTTGCAATTGCCAACGAGACGATCTACATCAGGCAACCAACCAGCTTGAAGAATTTAAAGTCCGTAATGGAACAGATAACAGACGAAGTAGATAGACGCCAGCGTCTGACTAGGTACATTTCTCCTCCATTTTTTTTTTTTTTGTTTACTTCTTTTTTTTTTTCAACAAATGTGCCATTTTCTCTTTTACCATCATCCCATATAGACTTCAATATCCACAACAAAAAGCAGCAATCTTCCTATTAGAATAGCCGTTCATCATGAGAAAATCTTATTCAAAGCATCTGACCTTGAGAATAAAATACCTATGCAACTGTCTTATTCATTTTTTTTTTCAACGGCAGACGTATTCACCGAGATTTAAAGAAAGAACTTTCTAGAGATAGAGGTCGAAAAAATTGTTTTATTTTTCTAATAGGTTTATTTATTTCTTTTTTTATTTCTTTTCGAACTAAAATACTAGCCGTTGGAGGAAGAGAGGCAAACTGCGAAGAAAAGTCATGATCCAGAAAAAGAGCAAATGAAAAACACAACATTTTCAGGAGACGAGAAAAGAAAAAGATTGCAATTTGCTTATTTGTAGCATCTGCTATTTGAAAAAGAAGACATGTTCTAAACAGTAATTCACATTTTGCAGCCGTATATACAAGCAGTCAGTAGTTATTCATAAATATGTTATTTGTATATTTAAACTAAACTGAAATATAAACGAGATAAATAAGGCAACTGAATATGAAAGGTTCGGATAATATATAAATGTGCCATTTGTTCAGTACACATGGGATGCAGTGCAGGAAGATTAAACTATCTAGTGTTAGCTATCAATAGGCAGACGACAGTTTATTGTTAAATTACGAACATTCATATAAGCGGAAACAAGTATGTTACTTACAACTGCGCTGTTCTGTCTGTAATGGCTGCTTGAATTCTTGACCACTGACAATCTTTTTGGTTTTCGCTCTTTTTATTGCGTTCTTTTAATAAAATGATTTAAAATGCATTCTTTACAAAGAGTTACTAAAACGTTTTTTGTACGACGGAGTTTCTAAAATCTGACTTAATGAGTAAAAACATTTTTTTTTATCTCTGCTTGCTTTGGTCGAGTAATTTTCAGTACTCCCTGGTAATCATATTGGATGGGTCTTCATTTATTGTAATATCGTTATATTTTATATTATATTATTCAACTTATTATATATTACAATCTATCTATCTATCTATCTATCTATCTATCTATCTATCTATCTATCAATTTTCAATGTCTTCAATCTCTCTTCATTATCTATCTATCTATCTATCTATCTATCTATATATCTATCTATATATCTATCTATCTATGTATTAGAGTCTCTTCATTATCTGTCTCAATCTCTTGAATGTGTTCAATCTATCTCAGTCTCTTTATATCTATCTATCTATCTATCTATCTATCTATCTATCTATTTATCTATCTATCTATCTATCTATCTATTAGAGTCTCTTCATTATCTGTCTCAATCTCTTGAATGTGTTAAATCTATCTCAGTCTCTTTATATCTATCTATCTATCTATCTATCTATCTATCTATCTATCTATCTATCTATCTATCTTCATCTCTTCAATGTCTTCAATCTTTCATTATCTATCTATCTATCTATCTATCTATCTATCTATCTATCTATCTATCTATCTATCTATCTATCTTCAATGTCTTCAATCTTTCATTATCTATCTATCTATCTATCTATCTATCTATGTACATATATATATTATATATTAATATTATATATATAAATTTATTATAATATTATATATATATATTATTATATATTATATTATATAGATCTTATATTATTATTATACATATTATTATATATAATATATTATATATTATGTAAAAACCTTGTGATAAACATGGCGAGAAAGATAAGAACAATAGTCCGAATAATGTAAATAGTATACATAATGCCTCATCTCAGAAATATAGACAGATTAGTCCTTCAGTTAACATATATATTTTAATATCATATTATTTAATCATTTCACCCCATGCAAGGCAATAAAACCACTAAGGCATGCGGAGTTGCTGAATGTGAAAGAACAAGAAATAAGTGTAATATTATTTAGGAGTAAAAATCAATAGAAGAGTAATGAAGAAAGCAGCAGATAAAATCTGACATTGCATTTAAATTTTCGGAGATCAAAGTTGGCCAAAAAGAATGGCGCCAGAAGGGACTTCCACAAGCAGAAAATATTTTAAAGCCGAAACGTATTTATGATTGTAAGAATTTTTTTTTTTTGTATGACGAGTGAATTTTACATTAACAATTTTTTTCGACATTAACAACAATTTTTCCAGTTACAAGTCCCACTATTTACCCCATAGCTGGGGAGAAGAGATTCCTATTTTTTTCATGGTCATTACCTAGTAAACGAACGTAACGAACTCGACTGGAATTCAAACTCTGCTTTCTGATATCTAATCCCTTGCCGCATTCCATTACACCTTCCGCACACCCAGCATTTTATTTAAGTAAGTTGTTTTTGTTTTACTATATATTCAGTCTCACGTTTCAGAAAAAGGTTGATGAAAGCATTTGCCCATGAGTTTTATATTTGCTGGAAAATCAACCCTCAGTGCGACAACTTTTGTGATTTTATCTTTGATTGCCTTGCCGGTGATGATGTTTCTGGTGACTCATTAGTCCAGCGCATCGATGCCCTGTACACTTCTTTGCATAGGTTGCAAGTGAAATCAAGCTGGGCATTATAGGGATAGATTGTGTTGTTTTGGTAACGTGTACAACTAATCAAGTCAGCCTCTGACAGCTATACGCACAGATATTCTGCACAGGTCAGAGTCTAGTAACTTTTCCTGGGAGAGGGGACTTATATTCTAAACGTAGTGTGCAACTCGTTTTAACTCTGAATATGCCTCTGCCTTTCTCATATTAATTAATACCAGTCATCAGCAGTTTCTCCTAAGTGTGGGTCTATCTATCTATCTATCTATCTATCTATCTATCTATCTATCTATCTATCTATCTATCTATCTCTGTCTATATGTATATATATATATATATATATATATATATATATATATATATATATATATATATATAACTATTCATTTAAAATGATTCCTTCACTACATAAGAATTCTCATGTTTCAAAACAAGAGCCGAAAACTTCAATATAATTATTTGAATTAAATTGAATTAAAGTACTAAGCTCTCTTCCATCTTCAAGCGAATTTTTGGAAATATATATATATATATATATATATATATATATATATATATATGTGTGTGTGTGTGTGTGTGTTTGAATAAAAGACAGACCACGTAACCCCTTTAACAGGGTTCTGGATCATCGGACTTTACTTCCAAAAGCTGAAATGAAAAATGAAAAGAAATTCACACGTTTTTGACGGACCTCATCAAGTATACGTAAAATTAACGGAGTGAGGAAGTGAGGTGGGAGAGAGGATATGAGTGTGTCTGTCTTTTATTCAAACATGCTCTGAATTTTACATTGAGCTCTCTGGATATCATCCTCCTCAGGTCTACCCATACAGTTGGCATAAACTATATATATATATATATATATATATATATATATATATATATATGCACACAAAGAGTGCTGCCTTGTCATCAGATTGATACCCAAACACTCAGGAACGTTCGTACTGGAGCTCCGGCGCGAATGCTAAGCGGTACAGTATGCCGTTTCCAAATGAAGTCGAACGGAATTGTGACATGGTGTACTTTTTCCACAGACAGTCCTCAAATGATCCTACTATACTGCGCAGTCGACAAAACAAAAAGCAAACAACACGAATGCCCAATAAAATAAAATAAAATAAAATGACGACAATTTACCCATCGCACCCGAAGCACTTTTTGGCTGTTTGGCGTTTGTTTACGTTTGTCAAAATAATACGCTAGATTTGGCTGACGCGTCCTGGCAGGGACAGCAGTACATATGCTGATTTTATATCACGTGTATGATACTACCCGCTTAAAATTACCTTCAAAATTAGGTCTTCAAAATTCGCATGATACGCGAGTATATACGAAGAAAAAGAGACAAGAGGAAAGACTATTCTTAGCCAATTTCTTATCTCTTTTTATTAATTCTGTTCCCCTACAGATACACTCTATCTGAAAATAATATATATATATATATATATATATATATATATATATATATGTTAAGAAATGGACAAGGTCCGACAATTTATTTATTAAAGACATTTTTTATTTAAACGTTGTTATTTATAGATACAAGTATTTGAGCATTTGCTTAAATACTTGTATCTATAAATAACAACGTTAAACATAAAAATGTCTTTAATAAATATATATATATATATATTAAGCATTTCACCTCAAGCAAGGCGGGAGTGCCACAAGCACGGAAGGGATTAAAAAGAGCGAAAGTAAAGAGGTGTGATAGAGGAAAGGATGAATAGAAGGAGAGGGAATAGAAAAGGCATCTGGAGATGTCGATTGACATTACATTTGAATAGTTGAAGATTATAGATATCAGGGAAACAAGTAATAGGAAAAGAATTCCACAGACGGGAGGTGCGAGACATAAAGCTATTGGAGTAGAAGAGACAGCTACACACAACTGTTTCCACAGTGAAAGGGTGGGACCGAGATGCCAGCCCACTTGCACGTTTAAATTCATGAAGGCTGGGAAATATATATATATATATATATATATATATATATATATATATATATATAGTTCAGAGCAGATTACATTAGAAAGATTTTAGAGTCCCATGAAAATAAATGGATACAACGTCTAAAAACACACTATCCAGCTGGGCTAAACCATAAATTTAACAATATAGATAGTACTAATATATAACTCAACAAATCAAAACCTACCCACATTTCTCACCCACACAAGACAGACATGCTTACGGAGGTGTGGAGGCCTCACACTTATACACCCCCCCACACGAATATACACATTTACACACATCATACTCACTCACTCCCTAATGAATCAAATGATAACACACACCTACAGCAATACACACGCTTACACATATCATACTCACTCACTCCCTAAGAACCAAATAACACACACACAAACACTTAACAGAGACACATCTCCTCTCCAGGAACCAATAAAACTGTCAAACTGACCAAGGGAATTCAGAGAAGCATAGATCCATCCAGCTCTTATCTCAAATAACAACTTGAAAAAGACTGTTTGACCAACACAAGGAATGTTAAAAGATTCGTGTTAAAAAGATAAAAAAATAAAAAACAAATGAAAACTACAGACAAAAGTTCATTTTCTCCATCAAGACATTCATTTCTGTAGTTCACTGCTACCAGCAAGTAGAAATATTTCTCCTCCCGATGATGGCCATTTTTGGGCCGAAACTAGTCGAGGAATCTAAATGAAATAATAATAATAATAAAAAACGAAAGAATATTAATCCACAAACCATGGTGTCTGAAGATTTTAATTTTTTAATATTTTTTTTATTCTTCAATATATATATATATATATTACCAGCAATATATTCGACTATTGACAAAAAACAGCTTTACAAAAATAAATACAAATAAAAATTAGTTTGTAGATCAGGTAATAAACCTGATCTACAAACTGAATTTTTTTTTACAAAGAATACATATTTTATTCCTACGAACCTATCGTAAAAAATCTTGTCGGCATTAAATAACCCACTGATGGTGATGTACCGTCAAACAAAATAAACCAAACTATATAAATCCATGTTGCTTATCTGTCTATATCTCTGAGATGATGTATTATGATTACTTGCATTATTTACATGACTCGGAACGTTATCCTCATCTTCATTGCCATATTCCCAACGTTTCGGCCGTGTTACGCTCCGTTCTTCTTCAGGTGATTTAAATTTCGAACCGAACCCTTTATTCCGTCCACGGGTTCTAGTTCCACATGCCATGCCTCTTCCTGATGTCTCGCTTATTTCCCTTTAACTCTCAAATTTTTTTTTTTTTTTTTAGTTCGCCCCTGCTATAGCCTGGTATTGAACTCACAACTCTTTGGGTCTAGTCACTGGATCTAACCAACGACTTTATTAATTGGGCTATGTGCCTTTGGAAATAGAACAATCTAAAAGGATAAAGGCGTTGGTTAGGTCCAGTGACTAGACCCAGAAAGTTGTGAGTTCAATATCAGTCCACAGTAGTGGTGAGACAAAAAACTTAGGAACATCTCTATGGGTTATTTAATGTCAAAAACTAAATATTTTGAACACAGTTTTATAGCTTCATCTGCAGGTAAAATATATGGTTGGCCATTTTGCTATAAAATGTATTGTTGGTAATCCTACTATAAATATGTATTGTTGGTGATTTTAGTAAAAAATATGTTTTTATACTTTCATATAGGTACCTCCATAGGTCACGTAAAAAAGCAGCATATCAGGATTAAAATGACTCATAAATCAACTAAAAACAAAGTTTTGTCTCAATATGATGTTATTAATTAAAAGCTAAAGCATTAAATTTATGATTTACAGTAAGTAACATATTCTGGTGTCTTTCAGATAGAAATTATATAGATTGGAATGTCAAATATATGCTCGATTTTTGTTTAATTTTCTTAGAAGCGGCCATTTTCTTAAATTTTAAGAAATTTGTAAACAAAAACAAAATTTTGATTTTAAACTTCTTCCTAAAATAAATTTATATATTTTTGACACGTTATTTGAGTTAAATTGGAAAATGTAAAGTTAAATTAATCTGATATGAAACAAACATTACTTATTTATAACATAAAAATTTGTATCCAAACATTTCTTAAAGATCGGTCTGAATTTATCAAAGAAATCGATTGTGACGAGGTGATGACAGACTACTATGGATGATCAAAATTGACAATTTTTGCAAAGTAAGCGAACGCGGGTTTTCGTTTTTAACTAGTACTTTTTAAATATTAACATTTTTATTCAGCAATTATGTAATATCTATTTTTTGTTTCATACTTTCTTAATTAGATAATTGTTTACAGTTTTTTTATTAATTAGATATTTGTTTAAAATTGTTTAAGTATTATGTCATGTATACATTTCCATACGTAGAAATTATGAACGTTTTTTTCAATAAAAATGTTTTTTTAAAATTATCTTAAAAATATTCGGGTACAAACGACTGTTATGTGCTTTTCAAATTTCGATTCGTAAATTTACTTTTTCATCAACGTTATCATTGCTGTACGTGTTTAAAAGCAATAAAGAATTTTAAACGAGTTTTGATGTATTAAGAAGTTAATGAAAAAAAAATTTTAAAAAATGGAAAAAAAATTTTTAAAAATGAAAAAAAAAATTTGTAAAAAATTCATTATTCATCGAAAAAATTTTATTTCTTCTCGAAATAATGTCCTTAATATAACGTATTTACAAAAGCAGGTCAAAGCTTTTCTAATTAATTAATGTCATACTTTTTTATATATTTTTTTTATAATTCAGAGCAGATTTTCTCTGAAACGAGTAACTGTTTTGCAAAAAAAAAAAAAAAATAAAAAATAAAAAACTGGTGATTTACTTTCTACAAAGAGTCCTGTTTATAACTAATAAAACAAAACCCGTGCTTAAAGATTTAATTTCTCGAAATTTCAGGAAAATATGTAAGTGGGTGGAAACAGGTTAAAAAAAATCTCTTTTTAAGAAGATTTTCTAAAAAAAAAATTAAAAAAATAATTTCATTCATTTCTGAATAAGTCCTGAAAGTTTCATTAAAATCCGACCATTATTTGATTTTTGCAAGAATTTCCTAAATTTACGTGTGTTTTCCTCGGGAAAAGCGCAAAATAAAACAAACCTTTTTTTTTTCTTTCTGCGCTGTCGTTAAAAAACAAAATGTTTAACCAAAATTTTCTACATGCTAGAAAGGAGTAAAAAATTTCAAAAAATATTTAAAAAATACTTTGGTCTTTCCTCTTCATAACAACATAAACATATTGTGACAAAACTTTGTTTTCGTTCATTTATGGACCTTTTTTCATCGTGATATGCTGCTTTTTTTATGTGACCTAATGGACGTATCTACTTTCATATTATTCTGCTTTTGCTTGGAGTGTTCTCTATTTGCCAATAGCTGGGACCCTAACAAGTGCTACCACCCCGGATTAGGGTGGACCTAGGAACAACAGCAATTACGAGGTGGTTCCACACTCCTGAAAACCTCCGGATTAGAAGCCTTGCTGCCGGATGTAGTTTATTGTCATACCCAGGATGGTGTTTACATAGTAAACTGGACATCTCTATTAAATTTTACATATGTTTTCTTTTGATATTTGAGATCGGGAGTGCTTCATCCTTATGAAAAATTATTTTAATTTAAGTTTGTCTTTTTTTATTTTTATGAAAAATTATTTTAATTTGTTTTTTTTTTATGAAAAATTATTTTAATTTTAATTAGCGTATTTTGTTTTGGCTTCCATAGGGAGATAAATTTACAATGAATTTAAAAAGCAAACTAGACGCCTTATTTACTTTTAAAAAAATTGTATAATTTTATTTTCATATCTGTGATCTGACGTGTTTAATCACGTGGTTTGATTTTTAAGGTTGGGGGGAATCGAGAATAAGTTATTAACAATTAATTTTTTTTTTTTTTAGTTATTCTGTGTGTCTGAGTTTGTGCACGAGAGATATACGTGATCGGTCCAGTCAACAGACAGATGAAGTAATGCATTATGATGGTAACAAGCGTGTTGATTTGGACTGTAGCCGATTTAACCTTTTACATCAGAATTAGGAATAAATTAATAAATACAAGTGACTTTCGCTCTATTGAGTTTAATGTATTCAGTTCATTGACAATCAATCATTTGTTTATATAAAAACGATTCTACGAAGTTAATGATGAGATGGACAAAATTAACGATAATGTCAAAATGAAAGGAAGAGAAAAAGCGGATAAAGTGATAAACCAAGCGAAAAAAAAATCAGAGTAAATTCGGGTGGAGAATCTCATGATTTATGGCTTCTTTTTCCCCACCCCGTGTATCGTTTTCTTTTTCTCCAGACCAATCACTGTTACAAAGAAGGTTCAGAATTACTAATATAAACTTTTTTTCGTTTTTATTTGTTCGTTTTGATCAAACCTGTCGAAACAAGTCGTTCGTTGCGTACGTACAGGCATTAAAAGAAAATCCGTTCAGGAAGAAGTGAAACTATATTTAGCACACAAACGACGACCGCCATTTTCTTTAGAAGTCGTCTGCTTGATTCACAAGCTGTTAACTACGACACAGCTGTAGACCCGTAAATTACGATTGCCTTCAGCGACGTATTCTAAGCTGAGAAATCGTTTAAACAGATTTGCTCTTTCTCATCAGTAATAAAAAAGGAGAGAGAAAGAGGAGGGAGGAAGGGAAAGAAAGAAAGAAAGAAATAAAGAAAGAAATAAAGAAAGAAAAGAAAGAAAGAAAACAGAAAGAAAGTGGGAAAGAGAGAAAGAGAGTGAGAAAAAGTAAGGGAAGGACAATTACAGAAACAGAGAGGGAGGGCAGTAAAGAAGGAGAGAGAAAAGGAAGGAAGAAAGGAAAGAAGGGGGAAGGAAGGATCGAAAGAAAGAAAGAAGGAAGTAGAGAGGGAGGGAAGGAAGTAGAGAGGGAGGGTGGGAAGGAGAGTGAGGGAAGGGAGGAAGAAAAGAAAGGAAGGAAGGAGACAGAAAAGGAAAAAGAATTTGATTGATTTGTTATTTTTTTAAGGCTTATCAATCTTTTTCGGGTTATTTAAAGCCAGAAATATTTTCAGTTTGTAAGAATCTTTAATGGGTGAGGAGATAATGATTTACTGATATGTCCTACTAATTAACCAGTCGCTGTGGTGAGAAGTAGTGGCTTCATACCTTTCCCAAGGGTACTTTGAGCGTATATGGACATAACGAACCCGACTGGAATTGGAACTCAGCTCTCCGATTTCCAATTCCCAGACTTTATCATCCACACGCCCAAACTTACAGCGCCTGGTATTCCCAAGGGGTCACCCATTTGGGTATTGATCAAGCTTGACGTTGCTTAACTTCGGTGATCGTATAAGTACCGGGAAAGAGAGAAAGAAATGGCAAAAAAGAGTCATATAGAAAGAGAGAATGTGAAAAAAATAGAGTGAGTGGAAGGAAAAAAGTGAAAGTGAGAGAAAGATAAGGAAAGAGGGAGAAAGTTAGGGAGAAAAAAGAAAGAAAGATTGATTTGTTTGTTTAACGGCACATCAACTCTTTATGGGTCGTTTAATTCCGAAATGTAGTTTTCTTAAGAGCTTGCTTGTTTGGTTTGTTATGTTTTACTCGATGGTTCATTTAATGCCGAAAAGATTTTTACTGCTGGTATTTTTTGCCAAATGTATTGCTGGTAGTGTGTTGCTGGTAATAATTTTTCTTCAAAAAATGTATTGCTGGTAATAATTTTTCTTCAAAAATGTATTGCTGGTAGTTTATTGCTGGTAATAATTTTTTCTTCAAAAATGTATTGCTGGTAATAATTTTTTCTTCAAAAATGTATTGCTGGTAATAATTTTTCTTCAAAAAATGTATTGCTGCTATTAAAACGTGTTTTTACGCTTTTATAGAATTTTGACCCCAGTTTGGGGGTTAACATTTTGCCCGTAGCTGGAACCCTAACAGCATTAAGAGGTGGTTCCAGGCCCCTCAAAACTTTCAATCTCCTGATCAGAAGCCTTGTTGTCAGATGTAGTTTATTGTCATAACCAGGACTAAGAAAGAAAGAAAGAAAGAAAGAAAGAAAGAAAGAAAGAAAGAAAATTGCAGATGTTGATATTTACCGAAGTTAATACACTCGAACACAACAACAATTACTGAAGACATGCGGATGTCGAAAGGTTTGCTGGAAGATTGTGTTGCGTAGATTTCATTTGCGGGTAGGGTCTTCTTGTTTGACTTGCCTAAAAAAGATTAAAATAATAAAAGTATCCTTAAGATCCAAATCGGTCATTCTAACAGGATATGATAGATGTAAACGGTTAAAAGAAAATATTAAATATTATAGCCTCTCTGGAATCTTGTAAAAGTTTTCTTCGATTGGGATCCTTGCAAGGAATCCATTTACCTTTGACAACGTCTGTAATCTCCAAAAAGTCTGATTGATAATTTTAACGTCTCCAAAACAAAACTGCTTTCAATTAATCATCTACACAGAGTTATTTCGTGGGTGCATGGCGACTCATCACCGTCAAATCAATGCCGCCGACTCAGCAACGCCGACACAACACCATCCAAATCACCACAGGCCTACCCAGCGCGAGGAAAAATCAACGACGCTCAAAGTATGAAATTCTTTTTTAAAAACAAATAAATGTAATTTATTAAGGATCATGTTTTAATCCATGAGTTTATTTTTAATTTAAAATCTTTCTAAGTTTGATCGGTTTGATAAGATGAAATTGGCAGCTGATCTCAAAAGTGATCTAAAATCTCCTGTTAATTTAAGCAAGGAAAGGATTGTTAATTTTAACGTTTCCGAAACAAAACTGCTTTCTTCTAATCATCTGTACAGATTCATCTCGTGGGTCAGGGCGATCCATTGCCGTTAACTCAACGTCGCCGTCTCAGGAACGCCGACACAACACCGACCAAGTGATTCCGTGACAAATCAACACCAAGGCAACTCACCACCAGTCAACTCAGCGCGAGGTCAACTGAACGGCATGCAGACCATGAAATTCTTTCGTCGAATTTTTAAAAGCAAATAAAAGTGATTTATTAAGGATCATATTTTAATACATGAGTTTATTTTCAATTGAAAATTTTTTTGAAAATTTTATGCAATTCTGCACAAATATTCAGTTGGAAAGAATTTTGCAGATTGCTTCTTCATTTTCACAATGATTGTGAAAATGAAGAAGCAATCTGCAAAATTCTTTCATCTGTCTTCATAGTCTTCTTCAATTTAGGCGGAGGAGGATGGCCTTCAATTAACTGCTAAAAAATTGATTCCGGATTCTTTACATATTTTCCAGCCGCGTAATGAATCTTCATATTGTTGAGTGCTCCATCCCAAACTCTGTGTGCAGTCTTCTACTTGCTGCTTCAGTAATGGTTATTTGTCTGATTTTGAAAATAAACACCAGTCAGTCAAATCGGCTGTTGTAACTAACAAATCACTAAGACAAACATCAAAATCTCTATGACTCAAAGCTGATCTAATAGAAATACACACCCTAACAGCCAATACTGGTCTGAAGCTGTCTTCGCACTGAATCGGTTGATGATGAGTAGTCCTGGAGTTGTAGCGGTGATAAGTTGGCCGGTGTTGAGAACATGGTGTTGAGTCGGCGGTAACGAATTGTCAGTGATGAAATGTCCCATGCTGTCATTTCATTACTGTCGGTGAATTACAATTCTTTAAAAGAAAAGGTAAAGATTTCCTGGTGCCTTTTCCACAGATTCCATTGCGTTATTATCTGTGAATTACCATGATTCCTTATCAAATATAATGGAGTTTTTCCATCGCTGTTTTCGCCATAATTTCCTTTCCGTTATTATCTGCGAATTGCCATGATTCCTTGTCAAATATAACGATGAGATTTCCCGCTGCCGTCTCTGCAGATTCCTTTTCGTTATTGTCTGTGAATTACAATAATTCCCTGGCAAAATTAATGAACTGATTTCCCACTGTCATCCAGATTCCTTTTCGTTAATATCTGTGAATTGCCCTGCTTACTTGACATAGACAATGTGCTTCCCTCAGTATTCTCCACAGATTCCTTTCATCTGGTATTACCATGATTCCTTGGCAAAATTAACGAAGTGTTTTTCCGCTGTATTCTCCATAGACTCTTTTTCGTTATTGTCTGTGAATTATCATGATTCACTGTCGCAGATAATTAAGTCGTTTCCTGTTGTATTCTCTACAGAATCCTTTCCGTTCTTATTTGGAATTACCATGATTCATTGGCAAAATGTATGAAGTGGTTTCCTGCTGTCGTCTCTGCAGATTCCTTTCCGTTATTGTCTGTGAATTATCAGGACTCCTTGGCAAATAAAATTGAAGATATTTCCTGTTGCTTTCTCCACAAATTTCTTTTCCGTTATTGTCTGTGAATTATCAGAACTCTTTGGCAAATAAAATGAAGATACTTCCTGTTGCTTTCTCCATAAATTCTTTTCAGTTATTGTTTGTGAATTATCAGGACTCCTTGGCAAATAAAATGAAGATATTTCCTGTTGCCTTCTCCACCGATTCCTTTCCGTTATTGTCTGTGAATTATCAGGACTCTTTTGTTCAAATACAATGAAGACGTTTCCTGCTGCCGCTGATCCCTTTTTGTTATTATCTGGTATTACTATGATTCCTTGTCAAAATTAAAATGCTTTTCCTCAATCTTCACAGATTTCTTTTTGTTTTTATCTGTGAATTTTCATGCCTTCTTTGCAAAGTTAATGAAGTCGTTTCCCGCTGTCTTCCGTTCAGTTCCTTTTCCATGATGTCTTTCTTACAGTTTCCACCTCTTTATTGTGTAAAAATATGAAATTCTATAAAATCAAAATTCCTGGCGTAGAGTCTATTTAAATCGGCCTTGAATTATTCCCACCAACCCAATTATTCCAGACTGAACTTGTTGTTGGTGCACAAGAATAAAATATATAAATTCAAATTCGTGTCTAAATAGGATATTCAACTTACGGCCATATGTTGAAACAACGTTTCTCGTCCGATCAGCGAAGCTAAGCAACGTCGAGCCTGATAACTACCGAAATGGGTGACCTCTTGAAAAAACAAGCGGCTGTAAGCTTTGATATGTGTATAGTGTAATGAATAACGACTCGAAATTTGATATCTGAGTTCCAATTCCAATCTAGTTCATTATATTCAACTACACGCCAATACCTTTGGGAAAGGTATACATCCATCTATTTTTCCTCATGGGTTAATTACTGGGACTTTCATCAGTAAATCATTATTAGCTCAAAGAAATTCTTACAATCTGTTTTTGAATGACCTGTAAATCTTACTTATTATAAAACGCAGATTGTGTGTGTGTGTGTGTACGTTTATATATTGGATCGGATTTCCTACATTTTTCAACCGATTTCAACAAAACTTCACTTTTTTGGCAGGTAGTGTTTCTTATTGTCTTGCACACTTTTTTCTTTATTTTTACATTCAGAATGCTTTAAAAATTCCATTTACAAGACAATTGTTTATAAT